CTTCCCCGAGAGGATCCAGCCAGGAAGACAGAACTTCTTAGCTTGGCTCGATGGTGGGGAGACTGAGGCTTGGCAAGTTGCACAGTTTGCTGAGGGCATGCCAGTGGGGTGTGGATGGGCCCGGGGTCTCTGGCTGCCAAGGCCTGGCCCTTGCCACCACACCTGCCCTTGACTTGAGAGCCTCCTCTGCCCCTGCTAACTAGTTCGTCCTTGACTGGGGCCCCCTCGGTCAGAGGGAAGCTCTGACCACACTCCTCAACTTCCCCGTGGGGGACCCAGCCTGCCTGTCCCAGCTGGTCTCTGAGGGTCCCTGGCCCCGTCTTCTTGGCTGTTCCCTGCGAGTAGAGGGGTCTCATGGTCAGGGGGCTGGAGATGCTGTTTACAGATCCCACTGGGCCATGGCCACCTCCCCATCTGCCCACCAGCATTGCTTCTTCACCTGGAGATCTATTCACAGACAGTTCTTAATTCCAGATTAGCTTTCCCTCGACACTGTGGTTTCCCCCTTAGTCATATATGTACATAGTAAAAGTTGAAAATGAGCAGCGTAAACTTGACAGAGGTTGGGCTGCAGGGCACATGCAGGGGACTTGGGGGTCATCAGACGTCAGGGGTTATCTGTGGTGGCGACTGCTGGTCCAGCCACCATTTCCTCCGAGGGCTGACTGCAGCCGTCTGTCCTGTGTGGGAACCACTAACTCACCCTTCTCACCCCTGCAGCGGTGGCCTAAAGTTTCCCGAGAGCCCTTTGGTTCCCCCGCCTCTGCCCTATCACAAGGCGGTGTTTTGTGGGGGGCACACAGCCACCCCCCCATATCCTAACTTGCCCCACTGCAGCCAGACCCCTCCCCGAACCACGAATCCTGCCGGGGCTCCATAAATCACCCTAAGAGCACATTCCTTAGGGGATTTGTAAAATAATCAAAATATTTGGGGAAAAGACCTTAAGATTACTTATGGCTATTAGTGGGATCCATATATTTTGGCACCAAGCATGGCTTAATTGGAAAAATATGTGAACTTGGTGATTTCTTTCTTTCCATCTTTTTTAAAATTTTTTTATAAGGAGTAGGCCCAGAGAGAAGAGTGGTTAGGAAAAAAACCAGGGAGGAATTGAATATCAAAAGGATTTGTGTGGAGGAGCTGTTTACAGAGTTGTGGAAAATATAATGCTAAATGGAAAGTCAGCCCTGCCTATATAGTCCGGGATTATTAATAGAACGGAGTTACCAGGCACATAATGAACCTTTTAAGAGACCTGGGACAACTTTCCCGTTGCAAAACAAGTTTCCTTCGAATAGCACCATTCACGCAGCTAAGGGCATTGGGTTACAACAATAAATAAAAATGAACAGTGCCCTGAGAAATTTAAGGAATGCACAAACGATTCAGTGATTTAGTATGAGAAAACACCACTTAAACATTTAATTGAATCGCGTACTTTCATCTTTAAAACGTGAGCGTTTGAACTGCCACCTGGGTCTCTCGCTTTCCCTTCATTAGATGGCGAGGCTCCTTGGGGGGAGGGGTCACACGGCTGCCCCTCCCCGGGTTTTTCCCCTTCCCTGCTGCGCCCTCACTCTCTCTAGCCCGGAGATCATCAGGAAAAGGAGACTGGCTGGGAGTTTCCTTGTGAAGCTATAGGGAGAGGCCTGTTATGGGATGTGTTTTTCCAAAAGCTTTATTTGCCCGGATTTGGTGTGCGCTTTGAAGCCCTGGGTCAGTCCACCGTCCCTCCTGGAGACTCAGTCTCCCCTCTGTTTACAGAGGGACCTTTGTCACAGTGCCCGTGCCTGGTGCCCAGTCTGATTCAGTGGGTTCCCCAGGTGCTCATGTCGTGTCTTCCTGGTTAAAACTTGCTGGAGTCGGAGCTCCTGGGGGCCCTTCCTGGTGTAGCAAACCAGAGGGCGGGGACAGAGTGACCACGTGGTCCTGGCGCTGCGCACTGCCTCACTGAATCCTCTGGTGTCTAGAGGCTTCTCGATTTTAATCGCAGGAGGTGGGCTGGGCTGATACCTGCCAGAGGAGGCCTGACCCCAGGTGATGTCCTGGAGCTAAGTCTCTTGTGTGCGGACAATGATCCTGAGTTGCCCGGACAGTGAAGCCGCCCTGCCAGGTTGGATTTGGCGTCCAAGAGAGAAAGGGGAGATCACGGGTCTGCAGCACAGCTTCCAAACCTGGCCAGTTGCTGTTGTTCAAGGTTAATGTGTACACCTGGGAAGCACACATGGGCACCCAGTCAAATGTACACTGTGGCCAGGGCTCCTGGTCTTTCCTCGGAGATTAACCAGTGGCCCTTTTTTGATTTCTTTCATGTCTGGGGCACATAGCTGAGTTGCTATGGGGGACGCAGAGGGGCTCCCCTCAACCCTGACTTTGAGGAGCTTGTAATCTGTTTTCACACTAAGACAGAAGAGCCAAAATTCAGTAAGACCCATAACCTTTATCCAGATGCCTGGAAAAAAAACCCTGCTACCAGATTCCTCCCTCTTTCTGTGAACTGTTTTAAGTCTCATCTCCCAGCTAGACCGGGGACTCTCCGGGACAAGGACGAGTATTCCATGTGACCGCTCAGTGAGTGAGCCACCTCATGTTCATTGTGCTCCATTTACCGGCCCCTCCTGGGAGCCCAGTCTGTCTGGTGCTGGGTTGCAAGGCAGGGAAGACCCAGCCGCGGTTCTCACAGCACTTCCCGTCTCTCTAGGAACTTGAGCTTGGGAATGGCTCCCATCCCTACGATTAGTTTGGTGCCAACGCAAGGTTTTCTTACTTTGGGGGTTCCCGGAAGCAGACCCTGAGACAGAAATTTGAGTGCCTGATTTATTGGGGGCGGGGGTTGCCCAGGAAACAGTGGGGAAGGGAAGGCAGGAGGCCAGTGCAGGGAGCATTATATGAAGCCAGTGACCTCTGGGGGCACTTGGAGTGGAATCCTGCTGGGGACTTTGGGAAACACCTCAGAGTTCCCCCCCCCCCCGCTCCTTTGAGGGGCGAGGGAGCTAGGGTACTAATCCATCACTCCTAGGGTGTGCATTCCTGGTACTTCCCAGCTCTCGCAGAGCAAGTCCCCCACAGCCAGGGCATGTCCCTGGGCAAGAGCAGGTGCTGGCGTTTGGAAGCTGGGCCACGCCCAGAATTGGTGCGGGCTGTGGGGATGTGGGCAGAGCACCAACGGGGGTGTTCGTGCAATTCATTCACCCAGTCTTTGTTGGGCTACCTCCATGACCCAGGCTGACGGTGGCCCTGAGACCCTGTCTCGGCTTCCTGGAGCCGTAGTTTGTTCTCAGCGAAGGAGAGCCTAACGGGCCCCTGCGCTCTGGAGGGCAAGCGCTGAGATGGGCCCTGTGTGTGTGCTTGTCTGGGTGAGAGTGCTTTGCACATTGTTGAGTTCTGTTCTGCAGGGGTCAGAGGATGATGGTGGGTGAGCACAGCTCTGCATCAAGGGCTCAGACCATCTTACTCCAGAATCAGAAGACAGGCCCAGTCGGTATCCCTTGACTGGGCTGTGACCTTGACCTTGCCGGCTGCCTGTGAGCTGTAAGTGGTACCCAGATGCAGGGCTCAGTCTGCTGCCTGGCACAAAGATGCTCAAGAAATGGTCAAGCCCGCTCCCATCCCTTACAGGCTGATAGTGCGTCCCTCCACCCACCCCACAGGCCATCCTGTGGTCGGCGGGAAGGGATCTGTTGCTGCCTCTCTCAGAATAGGAAACTGAGGCTCATAGATCGAAGTCCGGGCCTCCTGAGCCCCTGGGCCATGCTGCTTTCCTGACGTGACCGGCGCGTGACAAGGTCAAAGCAAATCACAGAGCCAGCCTGGGAGCGAGGAGGAGAGAGGCCAGCCGTGTGCCCTGGCTGCGGCACTCACCAGTCTTGAGCAGATCCTTGCATCGGGGTATTTAGCTCCTGATCTGTGCACGCTGCGTCCTCAGCGCCTTGACCGTGCTGGGCACGGAGCGGGATGTTGGGGCCGGAGGGGCTTTGGCGGTCAGCCAGCCCAAACCTTTGTTTTGTTGGGAAGAGGAAACAGTCCCAGAGACACCACTGACTTCCCCGAGTCACAGTGACTTATTGACGACCAGAACTGCAGCCAGGTCCTGGCTGGCCAGCGTGCTTTCTTCCTCCTCCTTCCGTAGGAAGCTGCTATGTAAAGTATGTTTTATTATAGTTGCTTATAAACATAATAAAAATCCCTTACATTTCATGGTGCCTTTAAAAAAAAGTGGTTTACCACCCAGCTTTTCACTTGCTCTTTAGGAAACCCATTGAGGGGCAAACAGGCATCACCCATTTTCAAGCTGGAGTAATTGAGGCCTGGGAAGCTTGCTGGGCCCTGGAGACTCCCAGGGCTTGGTCTTTCTGCCATACTCAGACTCTGGTGGGTCAGGACGGCCAGGGACAGTGCCCGAAGCCTTGGCTGTGAAGTACCCTCCCCACTTTCTGACAGATCGCAGACCTTATTGGGGGATGGCTTCTGCGGAGAGAGCCCCAGGCCAGTGCTCAGAAGGCTGGGGTTCAAGGTCACCTCTAGCCCTGGCCCTGGCTTGCTGTGTCACTGCGGGAAGTCACATCACCTTTGTGCTTTGAGTTCACCCCACCAGCTCTGGCCTCTTCCCTCAATGGGAAGCAGACACCTAATTAAAAATTTACAAACAGAAATCTTTATTATAAAAACCTGAACAGATTGCTCTGGGATCCCAGCAGGGTTGCCTAGGTGAGTGTGGGAAGGCTTCACGGAGGAGGTGACATTTAGCCCTGGGCTGGGGACAGTGAGGGACACTCCAGGGAGAAGGTGTAGGGGGATGGCAGTAGCGTTTGCCAAACAGGTACCACGTGTGCTGTGTACTGACTTGTTGACTTCTCACGACGAGCACCTGGAAAGGTTGTTTTTTAATTATTGCCGTTTTGCCAATGAGGTCATTGGGCCCCAGAGAGGGGAGATCGTTTGTTTGGGGTCACATGGAGTGGGTTTAAAGCCCTTGTCTTCCTTCCACCTCTCCACAGCCTCCTGTGCCACTGCCACAAAGGCCCGGAGGCCTGATCAGACCTTCCCACCACTTTCAGGATTTGAGATCTGCAAAAGGTGATGAGGCTGAGTGGTCCTGTAAAACAGTGTGCGCAGGGTGGGAGTGTCCATCCCGGTGCCCACCTCAGTACCAGCAGCCTCGTCCCCTGCCCTGCCCGTGTATCATCCCAGCTGCGGGATCTGGGCAGAGTTGGGCCTTCTGTGAGTCAGCCATCTCCAGGGGGCCCCAGGGGCTCCTCCCTGTTCCCAGATCCCTCAGTACAGCCCCCCAGGCACCGTCTCTCCACCTCTGCCCTCTTCTTGCCTCGGCTCCCTGGGGAGGCCTCCGACCTGCACCAGGGCCAGGCAGGCGTGACCAGGGTGGCCTCGGCGTGCCTGCTCCCCTCCCAAATCTCTAGGTGGCCTTTTTAAGGGTCCTGGCTTGTGGGCCTGGAACATCAGGGGTCACTCAGCTCAAGATTTCATTGCACAGATGGGGTGGCCGAGGCTCTGAGAAGGGGAGGGACTTGCATAAGGGCACACTGTATTAGGGGCTGGGCCAGAGCTCCTGGTGATCCCTGGTGAGGAGTGACCGTGGTGGACCCTGTGGCCCTCCGCCACGCCGGGATGGCTGGCGGAATCCTTTATGTGCTCCCTGCCTTACACAGCTCGGGCCCCTGACCCCAAAGAGCCTCACGAACTTGAGCTGGAAACTTAGAATCTTTTTCTCCTCTTGCTGCAAGGGCTTCATTACTCCGTCGGAGATTTGTGGGGACAGGGCCTTGCTGGGGGAAAGCGCACCAGCCGGGTGACGCTGGGCCTCCGTTCCCTCGCCCAGCTTCCTGGCACTGCCCGCCTTCCCCATCGGAGGGCGCTAATGGCAGCTTGTGGGATGCTCTGGAGTTTCAAGCTCTGGGGTCAAATGTCAGCCCCGCCACACTCACCGTGGGTGGTCATGAGCTCATTTGTCCTCCTCTGTAAAAGCAGGGGTGATGGTAGCCCTACCTCAGGGGGCTGAGTTAATAACACACAGGGAGGAGATGCCCCATGAATGGGTGATATTGTTATCTGGTCCTCAGAGACAAGGGAATGTCTTTCATCCCTCCTGTCTCCCCATCTGACTCTCTCGTGTTCTCCGGACTCGCTCAGTCACTCTTACTGAGTGGCTTCTTGCTCATGCGCTCCTTAAATTAAGGCAGGAATCAAGCTCAAACTCAAACTTGCAAAAGGGTCAGAGTTTGCTGGGGGCTTCAGGTGACACTGACTGTGGAGTAGGTGGGTCCTCGCTGCGCTGCTGGGAGACTTGGCTGCAGTTTGCACAAAGCAGGGGTTCACACCCACTTCTTCCCTGAATCTCCCACCGGCACACGAGCATGCGCAGATCACCCAGATCCCTGGAGTGATGTACAGCTGATGGTACCTGGTAGGAGTACCAGTAGGAGCTGGTGGGAGCTCAGTAAATGCATGTGCCTATTTTATTTTCTGTCCTTCAGCGATGAGGTGACCAGGTGGGTGTCTTCCATGCTGGGCATTATAGTAAGTGCCTACTAGCTGTTCAGCGCAGCACTGGGCATTTTACAGAGTGTTCTTATAACCTGTAATCCTTAAAACAATTTTGGGTGGAGAGGGTATAGTTAATTATAATCCCCATTTTACAGGTAGGTTCACTGAGGCTCAGAGAAAAGGTACATGTCAACTTAAGGTAACAATACAGGGGTTAAAAGTTAATCTGAGACAACAGTGCAGAGGACAAGATGGGGCCCTGTGGCTTCCTGCAGAGGTAGCAGTGGGGAGGGGGGAACAGGGGAAGGCTCTGTGATTTAGGGGTGCAATGTGTCTCACCTCACTAAGGAGGTAAGACTTTAGTTGGGATAGGCTGGCTTTTGAGGTTTTTTTCCTAATTTTATTTTATTGAATTATGGTCAGTTTACAATGTTGTGTCAATTTCCAGTGTAGAGCGCAATTTTTCAGTGATACATGAACATACATATATTCATTGTCGCATTCTTTCTCTACCACAAAATCTTGTATATATTTCCCTGTGCTGTACAGTATAATCTCGTTTATCCATTCTATATATACCTGTCAGTATCTACAAATTTGACTTTGAACTCCCAGTCTGTCCCTTCCCAC